GAAAACTGGACTTTGTCATGTTCAAAGAGTTTTTTATTATTTAAAAGGCTGTATAATACTTGATTATTAACAATATTAATATTTATACATTTACCCCCAACAATAATTTCAGAAATTTCAGTTATTACAATTTATTATCTACAGTCCTGACTCCAGACCTGGCGCACCTCTCCTAGTTTCACTCAAAATAAACATGGCTACTTCGCATAACAAAATAAAATATTAAAAACTTACCTAAATAAGTTAACAGACTTCTTGTCTCTCAAATAATTTGCGCTTGCATGGTAATAACAGTCCCTTATTACACACCTTGGCATTTTTTGTCCAAAATAAACTCACTTAACAACACAGTAAACAATATTTAATAATTTCACGAAAAGCAGAAAAATGACGATACACTGGATACCCACGTTCTCCGTTAGCAACTTGTTGTCGAGGACGGGTGGTGGCGGGGGAAGACTTCACTTATTCATTTTAATTGGTGGAACTTGGCAGTGGGAATTGAGGGGAAAAAGGACAGGGTGCGCATTTGACTATGTTACATCTTCGGTTTCTTTAATCTAAGACTAATACAAACTACAAATAATATAGAAAAGCTCGCCAGTCAAAAATGATCAAGTGTTGAAAAAAGTGAATTAGAATCTGTTGGATCTGTCATTATTAACCCATATAAAAAATTTTTGTACGCCTATGACTCCCTTGTGAGGATTGCAAAACTGTTTTCTATTTCTTAGTGAGCTGCAATAGCCACGTTTTTTCAATTTTTTGTTCTTAGTTCTTTTACATTTTGAAGAATACCGCTATAATAAAATGTTATTTTTTAAGAAGGGTATGACGCCCAAGAGTATGTATCTAACTTATTAGATTAAATAAAACACAAACTAATGCTTTAAGTTATTTAAAAATATCAGAAACTAATGGGTTTTAACATAATAATGTACGTATACAATTTGTATAATTTGTATAATACAAATAACATAAACCGACAAACTTTTAGGCGTGGTAGAGGACATTAAAATAAATATTTTTTGTTTTATAAATAGGTCCGAAAAAGCTTCGTTTCCAAGATAAAGGGTGTAAAAGTGTTAAATAAAAACCAATTTTTCTTTTGGAACTTATACCTAAAATGTCTGTAAGCGTTCCTACGGGGCAAGTTGTAACGGTTGGAACCGTTATTCGTTATTTCGACACAATCACCTCTACTCAAATGTCATTTGTCGTTTATGCCTTGTGTCAAAAGTTCGTATTTATTTTGATTTGAATATATCAACTAGACCACATTCATTTTAATATCTTGATTTTTATCTCTCGTATAATCTGTCTGATTTTATAAGATAAGTTTTAATACTAATATATTGTTGAAAATATATATTTTGTACAAGGATTTCTTAATTAAATTGTATTGAACATAACCTCAATATCAACAATGTCAACAATGGATAACACATGTTCGTTTTATATTAATTTATATATTATTTTTTTGGAATAAGATATTATGCTTTACTATGTTTAAATATGTTAAATAAGATTTTTCCTTTTCATATTAATTTTCGTGTGTGAAATTATTCATTTAATAGTTTTAAATTGTTCATTTAATAATTAAAGCATTTTATCTAAATCCTGTTAAAATTTCCTATTTCCCGTCTTAACATTTTAACTCTTTCTTTTTAGCATGGCTATATCTAGATGGTTTATTTGGATTTATATCCAGACGGTTTATGTGGATTTATATCTAGACGTTTTGAATTCCTATCAAGAAGTTTTAAATTCCTATCAAGAAATTTTATGGTTTTTATACCTAGAAGTTTGTTTTGGTTTTGGTACAATCTGAAGACCGTGGTTTGGTTCATCTATAGAAGATCTACACGTTTCGAGTTAAGGTAGAATACCAAATATCACGAGATCATTCAAGTTGCAGAATTACGAATAAGGATACCGAATCCCTTTAAAGAAGTTACCTGAAGATATACCATGCAATAAACATTCCTTATATTACCTTCTTTTAACTAAAGATAAGTGCTTTTAAATAAATCATCTTAAATTTGAATTTAGTAAAACTATGTGAATTAGAATTTGCTACTACCTTATCTAAAGCATGGTTTGAATATAATTTTGTTAGTGGTTAGTGATTTTCTATATTTTTATCTCTAATCTATAGTCAAGTATAGTAAGTTTTAAATATAGTGGTGCCCAACTTCTTTTTCCTGACTTGCTGATGAACTTGGTTTGCAGCATAGGTACAATATAAAAACTACTGGTACGCCAAGGACAAGTATGTAAACTGCCCATAATATTGGGTATTCATTGGTTAGACTGGCTAACCTTTGCACTAAGCTCTCAGAATCCTTGGCAATTTTCTGACGTTTTTTGTCAACAGCACAGGAAATTCTGGTGGAGGTGCCGGTCGTAGAACCACAGGATAAAGAACAATACAGAAAAGAAACATAGGGCTAAAACAGGAACCCAGCAACCGAAGCCACACCTTCTTCATGGTGGAGCATTGTCAAAATTGAACCGTAGATTTGTTACTTGTTCGAAGTGCAACAGTGCACACTTTTATAGCAGATGAACGAAGCTGTCACTGCTGTCGCTGTTAGAAAATCAATATTTTTTTCCCTGTCGTGTCTTTATTTGTCGTTTTGGATTTTTGGTTATTTTTAGCGAATATTCTGATAAATTTTACGTTTTTTTAGTGGTCTATTTTTAGTTTTTGTTGATGTTTTTAATTGTGGAGTTGTTAATTTAAGACTTTATTGTACGTATTAAGATTAGGTTTATAAACAATGCCGCATCAAAGAGGAGGAGGATATACTTGTATTTATCGTAGATGTACCTCAAGAACAGGTGGCAAAGAAGGATTGTTCACTCTTGTGAAAGATCCAGTGAGGTAGGTATGAAACCTTGAGGGTGAAATAGGAATTGACCTTGCCATAACAGGGTAGTACAATGATTGTATGTATTTTTCAGACTTGAATTGTGGCTTAAGGCAGCAAATAGAGAGAACTTATTGGGAAAGGGTGTTGAACGCTTAAGTAAAAATTACAAAATTTGTGAACTACACTTCCAGGGTAAATTCGTTTATCAGTCAGGAAGAAGAAAACGATTATTTGCAAATGCATTCCCAACAGTATTTCCCCATTCAGAACCTACTAAAAGAGTCACAGTTTTGCAAGGTAAATAAATATAATTTATAGTTAAATGTTACAAAAAGTTTACTACTCGTCTTGTCATTTTTTTAAATTACATGTAATAGTTTAAAAAATAAAATAATAAGTACTAATAATCTTAGAATATCAACCCATACATTCCATTTTGTAGAATTACCTCGGAGGTAAACTGCACTATGTCAACATACAACAACTTATGCAAATTAAAATAAAGTAGTTTTAGTAGTTAGGTTAGTAAAAAATATATATATTGTGACAATAAATGGGTGTCTAAATACATATCTAGTTGAAATTTAATAATTTAACAACATTCAATCTGCTGTACTCAAAAGTTGACTAGAATGACAGTGCAGTTTACCTCCTAGGCACAGAAATATATTCACATTTTATAAAATTATTTTAAATATCATCTGGCTAAAAAGTGAGACTCCATTTAATTCTGACAAATGATGCACCTTCTTAACACTAGTTGATCTGATAAAAATTTAGTTTTCTCTTTCTTTTTTTAGAGGAATTTGTTGTTCATGGCGAAGAAGGCAAAGACAACTTGTGTCTACCCTCAACTTCAGCAAAAGTAGAATTTATTGAACAAGTGCATAGTCAACCATCTGTTTTTCTATCTTGTGTAACATCACAAATTCAAACGAGTAATGTGTTATCATCAAACACTACAAGAAAGCAGAGACTGCGACTGAAGATAGCAACGTTGAGAAAATGTTTGTTTGGTGCAAAAAGAAGAAAAATAATTACTCATTATTTAATATTTTTTATAAGTACCATTTATATAATTATTCTATATTTTTGTTGTATATTAGGATATAGCTATTTTAATAAAGCTACTTATCTATGTATTATAAATTAGGCTTGCTCTATAAATCTGTGCAAACAATTTTAATTATTTTAATTTTCAAACAATTCTATTTTAATAAAATACATGCACTAGATTGTAAACTTATCAATTGCATAAATACACGTTTTTTTAATTTTCTTTTTTTTTTTTATTTATAAAATCCCTAAAATCCGCTTTAGCTAATGATTTTTTAACAATTATCCCAATTAATTTATACTTATGGATCATAAATGACTAGTGAGATTTGTAGCACAATATTAATAGTTCATTATGACAGGGTAAAATAAACTATTGTTTAAAACTTTATAATTTTTATTTTTGAAACCTCTGTCGGAAGTGCTACAAATCAAAAAATAATTTACTTAAATCGAAAATAGTTTCAAATACATTTATGCAAATTTCATAAAATATGACACATAATTATGTAAAAGAGAAATGTAGTTTTCGCAGTGTAGGTTCAGTAAATAGCTACGTCCGCGTGTACTCTGAATAATTACGTTTTCTCAGAGTATCTCTGTGGTGGAACTCAAGGTCAAATATTTATATCTCATCAACTTCAAAGTTCCGACCATTACTTTCTTTTCTGTATTGTTCTTTCTTCTGTTTTAAAAGTATCTGCAGCCCATTTTTTGGCAATGGTAATATCTTCAGTAATAATTATATTATCGAAAAGAATATCTTATGACATAGACCACAACTCAAAACCAATTGCAGACACTGTAGTCATTCTGAATGGATGTTCATCATTAAAGAATTCAGGATTAGGTATCTTCTTAGGCCTCCATTTGCCTTTATAATTAGGATTGTCAATCATCAGTGGCCTTCACTTTCCTTTGTAAGCCGGATTATTAATTAGTGGCGGTTCCCAGTGACCACAACCAGGTGCCGAAGTACACGCAGGGTTCTCTATCAATGGTGGTTCCCATAGCATCTGGATCGGAAATATGCGATCGTTCATTTTCTAGTCATCCACTAGGCATGGTAGCAGATTCATCAAATATTTGGGCGGGAGCATCTTCATCCTAGTCTTCCGGTTTGGTGGCTTCAGGATCCGGGATTTTCTCTCTTTCATTCCAATCCTCAGGTTTTTTATCATTAGGATCATTAATTTTAGCAGGAGGATTCACAGGAGGAACAAAATCTTCAAGCAAACTTCCAGAATTAACGAGCTTTTTGTCTACAGAAATCTCATATGTGTTATCAGGGTTGAGAATTAAAGTGTAAAGGTGAGGCAATTTATCTGAAAAATATTCTTCGATTCGTTCTTTGGGCTTCTGGCTATGTTTTTTTTCTAAACTTCCATTTATTGGATTCCTGTGTCTAAAAATGAAGTGTAATTTATGGTCATTTCCACATTTATCTGGTCCAAACATGATTGCATAAGGAGTTTTGTCATGGAAGTTATTCAAGTTCTTAGTTTCAGTACCTTCACTTAATAATTTCAAGTAAGCTCCTCCACATTCTTGAGCTTCTTGCAATAGTACTTCATATTGCAATATCAATGGTTTATCTGCGAATACAAACGGTTTCGATAGATGTGCTGAAATAGCAGCATGCTTTGCTTTTGTCTTTAAGACGAGGCCACTATCTCCTGGTATATTTTTGGGAGTTTGGGAGTTTTCAACTTCCCATCGCCCATCATATTTGGCTATTTCCTCTTCTATACCATCTTTTTTGGCTTGTGATTTAATCCATCGTTTTTGAAAATGGGCTAAATCATCAAAGTGTTCAGTAAAATAGACCTTTTTAGGGTCGATGGGAACAGGGCTTTCGTATTTGATATCTGGGATAGTTTCTTCTACTGTTTCTACTGTCACTTTTTCATCATCATTATTTTCACTTAATACTCCTGCACTTATGAGGACAATAAAAATGAACACTTTTATTCTGTAGTTCATTGCAATGTCTTCAAAGACCTACAATTAATTAATTTTTAATAGGCTCAGTTTTTGATTTTTCTAGAGCTTTCTTCAAAAATCCGTAATGTTAAAAAAACCGGAATTATTTTTTGCTGAAAAGGAATATATATTATCTCTGTATGTTTTTGAATTTTTTATGTTTTTAATAAAGCAACTAAAAATTTAACTTTTTGGTCGTCTAATTTTTGTATTGAGTTGTATTTTGAGTTGCTTCAGATACGTGCAAAAGTTTGGATATAATTTTTTTCTCGAAAACGAAAAGAGATGTCACACCACTCCTAAAAGTTTGTCAGAATGTGTATGGAATACCCTTTATATTGGCAAACTAAAAATATTTATTTTTTTTAAACGGTATCCTAAAAGTACGCATTAAAATCTATCAATATAATCAAACATTTTAAGGCCAAGGCAAAAATTCGCATCACCTAACCCCATTTAACTTGTGCAATCCTTATGCCACCAGTTTCTACAGTTTTTGCATTTTATCCACTCTGACAAGCTAAAATACTCTACATATTGTGTAGCCTTTTTGGATGATCATTTTTTAGATGGCTCAGTCTCAGTTTTGAAAAAAAAAAAATAGCTTTTGGCACCTTGCTTTTTGGTATTTTCTTCTTGCTCAAGTATAACTTGATTTTTATAGGTAGTAGAAGAAAAAGTTTCTAATTTTTTGGACTTTTCACTTCGTATTTGCTGATGTGTCGCCATTAGTAAAGGCAGAATCATTTTTGGCGTGACTGTTGAATAGTAAGCGACAGGATCGTTTTTATCCATTTAATAATTTCTTTTTTGTGAGTTTTGTTTTCAAAGTGGATAGAGAAACTAAATCTTCATCAAAATTACTATGCTCAGGCGCATTTTATAATTCGATATTTTAAACGGGTTCAGTTTTAGTTACAGGTTTCTTTGTGACCTCAACAGGAGTAAAATTAGCTTCTGTGAAATGAAAACATCCGGATTGTAGGGGAATATCCCTGTACATGTAAATGATTTCTCAGTGTTGGATTTGGAGTTTATCAAAATTTAAACCAAACACAAATTATGAATACGACCCTAAGGCTCCCTTACAAAGTGGAGTGTCTCCTTTCGATGCTAGCTGCAAATATTTTCATACGGATAACGAAATTCCAGCAACTTCGTAAAAAACACTTTATTGTGCAAAACTTTGCACGACAACTTTCTTTACAAACACCTAGAGGCTTAAAACTGCCTTAAGGTTAACATTACTTATTATTTATTATCATTTTAGAGACCGGTCTGACTTCTTTCGAAGGCCAAAACGATATAACTTTTTGACCGTTCAAAGAAAATGCATGCCTACGTGTCAGAAACTGGTTGGCCTTGAGTGATTGTGCGCTGATACAACTCAGTTAACGAATTTATGGTCACGTAGACGTTTGTTTACAGACGTCCATAACAAAACACCTGCGCACCGACCACAGGATCGTCCCTGAATATACTATGTTTTAAAATGTGTTTTAAAACACTCAGCAATATCAAGAAGTGATACCTTTTGCATATGCTGTCTACTATGTGAAACAGTGTCGACATTTATTTACCAGTAATCTTCTTTGGTTACATACCATATGTTTATCACATTTAGCGAAAAAAAGCTTCAGTCGAGAGACTGCATTTTATAGCTGGAATGGTAAAGGTAAAAGAATAATAAAGTGTTCTTTTTCATATTCAGAATCCAACGCACGTTATAAAGTTCTGAAAATAAGCTATTATGTAATTAGTGGTTAAAAGTTCTCCAAAAATGATGCATTTTATATCAAATGAAACAGAAAATTATAATCTACATGAAGAAGTAAGTTACAACATTTTACATTTATAAGATTAGTCAAAAAATGTAAATTTGTAGAGTAAATATCGACAAATATTGGCAAATATTAGAGCTGGAGGTACCCAGACACCTCCAGCGTTCATGCATACCACAGTAGTAGTTTCTTGCGTAAAAAATTACCTTACATAATCTTCTCCTTAATTTACATTCTTTGAGGTTTAGCGACTGTCACCAACCTTTTGCTCTCGCCATTTGCTATTCGTTTAGCGGCTTGGTTTTAAATTTCTTAAGTAAACTTTATCTCCCTCATGCTTTTCAAAAAACGAAATCAATTTAAAAAACATAATACCTAAGAACACGCATGTGGCCAAAAGTAAACCAGAAAACAGCCTTCAATACCCTCTCAGGAGTACAGAGGCTGGCATGCCTTTATATTACAGGAGCACTGAGAAGTACACCGACAGCCTCTATGGAAATCATTCTAAACCTCCCACCCCTTGATCTAGTCATAAAGGGGGAGGCCAGAATGAGTACATACAGACTGGAAATCTACAACAACTGGAACCCACTGGGACATATAAAACATACCAGAATAACACATGAAGTAAATTATTCTATATTAAATATGGTCTTAGATCACATGACACCCCTCCTAACCTTTAACAGACTCTTCCAGGTCAACTGTAACTGGAACAAGGTAAATAAGGAGATAGATAAATACTTGCTTAGCAGTCTCGTATGGTATACGGATGGATCTAAAACTAACAAGGGAACAGGCTCTGGCGTACATGGAGTTAAACCCAAATACGACATCACCGTCTCACTGGGAAAACATGCAACTGTATTTCAGGCTGAAATACATGGAATTGAATTGTGTGTACGAGAGAATTTAAGAAGGAAGTACAAAAAACAAACCATCCCAATTCTCTCAGATAGCCAAGCAGCTTTAAAGGCTCTTGATTCAAACAGAATCAAGTCAAAGCTTGTCTAGAACTGCCTTGGAATACTAAATAATCTGGCAACCCACAACAAGGTAAAACTAGCGTGGGTACCAGGGCACAAGGAAATGAAAAAGCTGATGAACTCGCCAAAGAGGGATCAGATCTATCATTCACAGGACCCGAACCTGTATTTGGGATAAGCAAAACCTCTGCTCGACAAGCAGTGAACAGGTGGATAACCACAAAATACCAAATTCACTGGCAACAGATAAGAGGGCACATAATCAGTAAGCTCATGCTAAGGGGACCAAACCCACGCATGGCTACTGAGGCACTACAACTCGCAAGACCTCAGATATCCACCATTGTGGGATTACTAACGGGGCACTGCTTGCTGAGACACCTTCATGTAATGGGACTACACAATGATCTCACTACGTGTAGACTTTGTAAGGAAGACGAAGAAACCTTAAACCATGTGATCTTCGAATGCGAAACTCTTACTGGGCGACGTCTCATCCTTTTCGGCCTAGAACCAGAAAAAACGCCTCAGGAATACTTAGTAGGGAACCTATTAAAACTAACCAAAGACACAGGACTATTTCAAAGATAGTACCTGAATACGGGGAAAGCAGGGGAATAGAATAGACCCAAGAGGCCGCAGTGTTCTGGGCCAAACCTAACCCTACCTGCTTACAAACGATAAAGATAAAAAAAAGAACACGCATGGTGTGCCTAGTTACAAATTCAAAACACTGACCTCAAAAACATAACAAAAAAACATCGGTAAAGTATTTTACCCAGTACTTCTCTCGATATAGAAATTGTAAAAACAAGGAACGCTCAACTTAAATTTTATTAATTTAAAATTTAAATCACCAAATCAAAAACCACTTTGCACATTTCTCTCTCCATCGATCTTCCTCTTGATCCCACCCGAAATCTCACTTCGCGTCTGCTCGGTATTCTTCAACAAGTTCAATGTTATTGAACAAAAATGGTCCAGTTATACAAACCAAAAGGACGATTTTTATTATTTATATTTAAGAGGGACCTTTATTGATTAAATGCGATTCCGTTTAATACCATTTTGAATTTTTTAAAAATTATTTAGGATCTATCCTCTTTGGCTTCTAAAATTTTCAATTACCAATTTTAGTCGAAATCTGCCGACTTTTTAAAATAATAAAAAAAATGCTCATCCTGTATATAACTAATCAAAAGTATAACTGGTTTTAGGTCAGAAGAACCTTATCGGCATACAAATTTTGAAGAGCTGTTTTTGAGCTATCGTAACGACAGACAGACAGACGACAAACGACAGACGACAGACAGATCTATGGAAGGGGAAAACATGTTTTTCGTAATCTAGGGATCCTAAAACGTGAAAATCTGAAATAATCTCGGAAGCTGACTTTTTCACGATTGCAATACTTCCCTTTTATGTAAACAGGATTGAGCTGGGGCAGAACCATTTTTTATCACGTATTATAAAATAAAAAAAAACGGTATTTGAGAGTCTACGCCTTTGTAGTGTTCATTAATATAATAATTTTAATTTTTTACCATTCACATAACAAATTCAAGACAGTGATGTCCTAACTTGCACACACTTCTTGCTCTGTTGCATAGCCTCCGGAAATACAGGAAATTTTGTCGAAAATATTAGTAGTGCATAGGTACCACTGTTACCAGTCTAGTAGGGGAAGGCAAGGCAGAACGGGGTAGCGGGGGTAGAACGGGGTATGCCATCAAAAAACCGAACGTGTGAACGGAAATATCCGAAATTGCACTGAAGTTCACTTAAAAGCATCGGTTACATGTTAGTTAGATACGCCAGTTGTCCGAAAAACGTCGAGCAAGAGGTTAGTCTCGTTAACATCTGGAAAGTTCGTGTTGATTTGTAACTTTTGTCGTCCATATTAACCACCGTAAGTAATTTGCTTATTAAAATTTAATCTATTTTAATTATGTAATGCAAAGAACGTTGTTTAGCAACTTTTTTACCACTTTAGCTTTACTCTAGGTCTTTTTTTTTTTTCAAAATTTTTTACTCTAAAAGTAAACGTATGGGAATAGTGAATACATTTAAGAATAAAGTAGTTAATTTATATTTGAATTGTGATTGTTTTCTGTTTTGTTTCGTTGCAAAATTATATTTTTAGTTATGTTGTACAGAAAAAATGTTTTCTACACACAGACTACAAAACGAAAACGTATGTCATTGCGTTCTACTGAACGAATATATTTCATATCCATTCTAGGTAGTGAGTACACTGTAAAAAAATGAAATCCACCACCGTTCATATTTTGGACACCCAACTACCATTATTTTTAAAATTTTAAATGAC